GCTCCCCCAACCTTCACTCTTGGGGTGTTTTTTTGGTTTTTTGGGCAGGAGGAGCCGCTGTGGGCACAGGGAGGGGGCTCAGCACTGCTCCCCTCATTGGGGCAGGGTGTGAAAGCCCCCACGCCCCCCTGTGTCCCTGGGGGATGGCACCGCGGGGCTGGCACACCCCAGGAGGGGCAGGGCGAGCGCGGCAGCCCCTCCTGGGCAGCCTCGTGCCCACGCACCCACCCACGGCCGCGAAAATGTTCCCGTCGCCAGCGGCGCATGGCCCCCCACGCACCACCCACCCTTCCGGAGCACCCATCTGCTCGGGGACACCCCCGCAGCCCCCCGGGGGCACCCGCAGCCCCCCAGCCCCCGCCAGGACGGCCCCGGCCCCTCTCAGCACGAAGCGGCCGCTAATCTTCATTAAGCCGCTCATTAGGCGGCTCGGTGGGCAAAGGGACGGAGCCGATGTGACAGATTGGGGGGGGGGGGTGGGAAATGGGGGGGGCTGGCTCAGGGTACACTGGGAAGTGGGGTCCGAGAGGGTCCCAAAGGGTGAAGGGGTCCCCGAAGATGAAGGGTCCCAAAGATGAAGGGTCCCAAAGATGAAGGGTCCCCAGAGGTGAAGAAATCCCCAAAGATGAAGGGTCCCAAAGGGCAGTGGGGTCCCCAGGGGTGAAGAAGTCCCCAACAATGAAGGGATCTCCAGAGGTGAAGGGGTCCCTGGGGGTGAAGGGGTCCCCGGGACAGTGGGGTCCCCCTGGGCAGTGGGGTCCCCATAGATACAGGATCCCAAAGGGCAGCGGGGGGGAGTTCAGCACCCCAGACCTTCAATCCCTGGGGTGGTTTTGGGGTTTTTTGGAGAGGGGAAGCCGCTGTGGGTGCAGGGGGAGTTCAGCACCCCAAACCTTCACTCCCTGGGGCGGTTTTGGGGTTTTTTGGGAGGAGAAGCAGCTGTGGGTGCAGGGGGGGGCTCAGCACCCCAAACCTTCACTCTCTGGGGCGGTTTTGGGGTTTTTTGGAGAGGGGAAGCAGCTGTGGGTGCAGGGGGGGGCTCAGCACCCCAAACCTTCACTCTCTGGGGCGGTTTTGGGGATTTTTGGGGAGGGGAAGCCGCTGTGGGTGCAGGGGGGGCTCAGCCCCGCTCCCCTCATTGGGGTACGGTGGGGAGATGGCCCCGAGCCCCCCCTGGCAGTGGGGGATCCGCAGCGGGGTTATAAAACAGGGGGATGGCAGGGGGAGGAGGGTGCGTGCGTGCTCTGCACGCCAGGAACGCGCACAAACGCGCTCGGCACCCCCGGGCCCTCACACCTTCCCCCGCTCCGCTCGGCATTGGCGGGGGCAGCGGCAGCGGCGCAGGAGGAGGAGGAGGAGGAGGAGGAGGAGGAAGAAGAGGAGGAGGAGCCGCTGCCGCTGCCCACCCCGCTCGTGTGGGGACAGCCCGAGCCCATCCCGGTGCTGCTGCCGGGCTGGGACCCCATGGAAGGGGCCCTGAATCCTCAGGTTTTACAGGGAATGTTTCGGGATGCTGGGATGGGGATGTGGCCCCACAGATGTGTCCCTGCATCCTCAGATATTACAGGGAAGGATTCAGGATGCTGGGATGGGGATGTGACCCCATAGATGTGTCCCTGCATCCTCAGATTTTATTTACAGGGAAAGATCCAGGGCTTTGGGATGGAGCTGTAGCCCCATGGAAGGGGCCCTGAATCCTCAGGTTTTACAGGGAAGGATTCAGGATGCTGGGATGGGGATGTGGCCCCACAGATGTGGCTCTTAATCCCAGATTTTAGAGGGAAAGGAGCAGGATTTTGAGTTGGGGCTGTGACCCCATGGATGTGGATGTAGGATTTTGGGATGGGGCTGTACCCCATGGATGTGGATGTAGGATTTTGGATAGGGCTGTGACCCCATGGATGTGGATGCAGGATTTTGGGTTGGGGCTGTGACCCCATGGATGTATCCCTGAATCCTCATATTTTACAGGGAAGGATTCAGGATTTTGGGATTGGGGCTGTAATCCCATGTATGTATCCCTGAATGCTCAGATTTTAGAGGGAGGGGTTCAGGGTGCTGGGATGGGGGTTGTTATCCCATGGATAACATGTTATCCCATGTTATCCCATGGATGTGTCCCTGCATCCTCAGATTTTACAGGGAAAGGTGCAGGATGTTGGGATGGCGCTGTTATCCCACAGATGTGCCCCCGCATCCCAGATTTTACAGGGAAGGATTCAGGGTTCAAGGATTTGGGATCAAATCCCATCCCATGATTTGGGTTCAAGGTTTGGGATCAAATCCCATCCCATGGGCAGCGACACCTTCCACAGCCCAGGCTGATCCCCCTTTGGAATCCAGGGATTCCCTGGGAATTCCATCCCAGCCAAGAATTCCTTCCCAAATTCAGCATCACTCCAGCCAAAACCCCAAACCCCCCAAAACCCCAAAACCACTGGGAGAGTGATCCCCATGCAAGGAAATTTTGGATGAAGCAGCACCTGAGGAAGGCGAGGATGGACCAGGGAGAGGCTCAGGATCCCTTGTGAATGATTTTATTTCCACTGCTGCAGGGAGTGGGAGTGAGAATCCCATAAAACTGCCAGGTTGGGAGGTGCAGGTGGCTTTGGGAATATCTGTACATTCTACCAGTCTATATACACATCAGATATAAATATATATAAATCCAGGGGGGCTCCGTCCGGGTTTAGGGCTGAAACCTGTCCCCACCCAACTGCAGGGAGAGCTGCAAAGGAGATTTTATCATCAGGGAAAACCCTCCTTAATTAGCAGGAGGTTTTAATTAATGGGAAAAGGGGAGCATCCCTGTGCCAGCTGCAGGGAGGAGGACACGGTGCCCGTCCGTGGCCGTCCTGGGAAGGGTCAGCTCTGCTGGCTGGGCACAAAGGAGCTTTCTTTGGTTTATTTAATGCTCATTGCAGTTGGATTTTGATTTTTTTTTTTTCCTCTCTAATGCTCGGCCTTTAAATCCAAATCCTGAGACTCAGGAAGAAAAGAAGAGAATAATCCCCCCTAAACCCGGACACCCAATAAATGCAGGTACAGCTATCGGGGGGGGAAAGCGATACATGTGGGGATGGGGAAGAGCAGGGATAAAAATAGCCCTTCCAAAGGATGATTCTTCCCTTTTCTTCTCCCTTCCTTTTATTTCTAATAAAAAAAAAAAAAAAAAAAAAAAAAAGGCAAAGCCCAGCCATGTGTGATTGGCTCCAGAGAGAAACTGAGCCGTGGATGTGGCCCTGGAGCCTCAGATCTCAGAGGGAAAGGTGCAGGGTTTTGGGATGGGGCTGTGACCCCACAGATCTGATTTTACAGGGAATGATGTGGGGTTTTGGGATGGGGCTGTGACCCCATGGATGTGGCCCTTGATCCCAGATTTTACAGGGAAGGATTCGGGAGGTTGGGATGGGGCTGTGTCCTCATGGACGTGGTTGTACATCCAAAGATTTTACAGGGAATGATGCAGGATGTTGGGATGGGGCTGGGGCCCCATTTATGTGGCCCTGTATCCCTCCAGCTTAGAGGGAAGGATTCAGAATTTTGGGATCAGGCTGTGGCCCCATGGATATGGCCCTTGATCCCAGATTTTAGAGGGAAGGATGTAGGACACTGGAATGGGGCTATGGCCCCATGGATGTGGATGCGGGATGTTGGGATGGGGCTGTGGCCCCATGGGTGTGGATGCAGGATGTTGGGATGGGGCTGTGGCCCCATGGGTGTGGATGCAGGATTTTGGGATGGGGCTGTGACCCCATAGGTGTGGATGCAGGATTTTGGGATGGGGCTGTGGCCCCATGGGTGTGGATGTGAGATGTTGGGATGGGGCTGTGGCGCCATGGGTGTGGATGTGGGATTTTGGGATGGGGCTGTGGCCCCATGGGTGTGGGATTTTGGGATGGGGCCATGACCCCATGGGTGTGGGATTTTGGGATGGGGCCGTGACCCCATGGGTGTGGATGCAGGATTTTGGGATGGGGCTGTGGCCCCATGGGTGTGGATGCAGGATTTTGGGATGGGGCTGTGGCCCCATGGGTGTGGATGCAGGATGTTGGGATGGGGCTGTGGCCCCATGGGTGTGGGATGTTGGGATGGGGCTGTGGCCCCATGGGTGTGGGATTTTGGGATGGGGCTGTGGCCCCATGGGTGTGGGATGTTGGGATGGGGCTGTGGCCCCATGGGTGTGGATTCAGGATGTTGGGATGGGGCTGTGGCCCCATAGGTGTGGGATGTTGGGATGGGGCTGTGGCCCCATGGATGTGGATTCAGGATGTTGGGATGGGGCTGTGACCCCATGGATGTGGATGCAGGATTTTGGGATGGGGCTGTGGCCCCATAGGTGTGGATTCAGGATGTTGGGATGGGGCTGTGGCCCCATGGATGTGAATACAGGATTTTGGGATGGGGCTGTGGCCCCATGGATGGGGATGCAGGATTTTGGGATGGGGCTGTGACCCCATGGGCCAGTGCTGGGCTGGGGATTTGAAGCCACGCAGGGTCTGCTCCTGCCCAGGGGGGGTGGGAAGGTGCCCCCTCCCCACACAGGGGCAGGACCCCCTCCCTGCTCCATCCCCGCACATCCACAGCCCCAGGAGGGATTTAGATCCTCCTCCTCTGGAGAATTGTGGAGCCAGAGCTCTCCAGGAGGGTGACAGGAGTGTCCCCATCCCCTGGCATGGCCTAGTTGTCCATCCTCCCTGCAATTCCACGGATCCCACCACCCTCAGCTCCAGTTCATCCCATCCCAGCTCCAAAACCCACCGGGAATGGTTCCGGGTGCTGGACACGCCCCGAGCCCAGCGGGGACCGACCCCAAACCCTGCGGGGCACCAAGGGAGAGACAGAACCGGGGGACAAGGACAGCGAGCTGTGACCGGGGGTGACGCTGGGACACGGCGGGGAGCGGTCCCCAAGGAGCCACCGGCGTCCCCGCAGGGCAGGAGAAGGGGGGAACGGGGAGAGGGATGGAGGCGGGCAGTGAGCGGGGGGAGAGGGAGGAGAGAGGGTCCCACGTGTCTGAAAAGTCCGAGCAGAGCCGGGCCTGGGAGAGGCGGGGCAGGGCTAAAACACCACGGACTGCAGCAGGCGGAAACACAGCATCAGGTCCAGAGGGATGGGCGGCTTCAGCAGGTTCCCGTCCAGCCGCAGGTAGCGCAGCCGGGGGACGCTGTCCAGGTCGGAGGGAGAGAAATCCTGGATGGACATCAGCGAGGTGGGGCAGATCTGCGTGCCGTTGATTTCTGCGGGGACAGGGGACACACAGGGGTGAGGGGTAGGGAAAAGGGGATGTGGAGAGGAGGAACAGAGGGATTCAGGTCAGGGAAAAGGGGAATGTGGAGAGGAGGAACAGAGGGATGTGGGTTATGGAAAAGGGAATGTGGAGAGGAGGAAGAGCAGCATGAGGGTTAGAGAAAGGGGAATGTGGAGAAGTAGAAGAGTGGGATACAGGCTTGGGAAAAGGAAAAGGGGAGAGGAGGAGCAGTGGGATTCAGGTCAGGGAAAGGGGAATGTGGAGAGCAGGAAGAACGGGATGGGGGTTAGGGAAACGGGAATGTGGAGAAATGGAAGAGTGGGATGCAGGTTTGGGAAAAGGGAATGTGGACAGGAAGAGCAGTGGGTTAGGGAAAAGGAGATGTGGAGAGGAGGAGCAGTGGGATTTGGGTTAGGGAAAAGGGAATGTGAGCAGGAGGAAGAGTGGGATGAGATTAGGGAAAAGGGAATGTGGACATGAGGAGCAGTGGGATGCAGGTTAGGGAAAAGGGAATGCGGAGAAGTGGAAGAGTGGGATGCAGGTTTGGGAGAAGGGAATGAGGACAGGGATTTTTGAACCCCCCTTGCTATTGAACCCCAAACTGGGGTTGTTTTGCCACCAAAAGGGACAATCCCAGGCTGTTCAAAGCCCCAGCCAGATGGAAAATGTGGCTTTTGATGAGGAGCGAAGTAGGTCACGTTCCTCGGGAGCGCAGCTCGGGATGCGGCGGCATTCCGGAGACAGAAGGGACCACCCCGCCCCCGGAACCTGCCGAGCCGGCCCCGAGCTTCCCAAAAAAACCATCCAGGAGTCCCGCTCCAGCCCTGTCACACCGGAGATAGCGCCAGCACCCGGCTCGCTGCCCCCCTGTGGAATTCCACCTGTCCCTGCCCGGCCCAGGGGCGTTCCTCATGGAAAACAAACCCCGGGATTGTGGTGTCAGCACCCAGCTCCAGGGATGGGAACCTCCGAAAAACCAGGGAAAACAGGAAAAGAGGAAAAGCTGGGTCAGGGCGGGCACTGGATTTCTCTCCATGGAAAACGCCATCAGACTTGGATGCTGGGGGTGTGGGAAGGCAGCAGGGGTCACCACCTGCACCACAAGGTCCCCTCCTGGCTCAGATTTGGGGGTGTTTGATTAAAATTCAGATTAAGGAGCGTTGGAGCCAGATGAGATCACAGCAGGGTCCTGGCGCTCCAACAGCAGAAACATCTGGGGAAAGAAGGAATCCTGGAATGCTGGAATGGTTTGGGTTGGAAGGCACCATGAAGATCACCCAGGGGCACCTTCCACTATCCCAGGCTGCTCCAAGCCCCATCCAGCCTGGCCTTGGACTCTTCCAGGGATGGGGCAGCCACAGTTTCTCTGGGAATTCCATCCCATCTCTTCACCTCTCTCCCAGAGAAGAATTCCTTCCCAATATCCCATCCATCCCTGCCCTCTGGGAAGCAATCCCCTGTATCCTGTTCCTCCATCCCTCATCCCAAATCCATCTCCAGCTCTCCTGGAGCCCCTTTAGGCACTGGAAAGCTGAATGGGAATGCAGTGGGATTCTGTCTCCTCCTCTGTGCTCGCTCTGTTTCCGCACATCCCAGGCTCCTCTGCCGTGGAATTGCAGCTGGATTTCCCTGGGATGGTGTGGGACAGCCCTGGCTGCTCTGCCTCCATGGCAGCCTTGTTCTCCCTGTTCCTTCCCCTCTCTGGCATGTTCCCTCACCATCCCGAGCTGTGTGTTTGGCATCTGTCCCTAAAACCTGTGCCCAGACTCTCCTCGTTAAATATCCCGATTCTGCCAGGGGAAGAGCCTTTCCAAGGGCAGGCAGCTCCACAGAACACAGCTGGGAAAAGTCCTGCAGCACCAGGGGGGATTCACTCTGCTCCTCCCCTTCCACCCAGATCCCCCCTCCATCCCTGCAGCTCCCACCTCATCCCACCCCTTTGAAGCGATCACATCCCACCAGGTGAGGAATTACTTTTCCAAGGTTTTTCTCCCCAAAATAACCCCCGTGGGACTCACTCTCGATGGAGTTGTTGTTCAGGTAGAGGTGCTCCAGCTTGGGGCTGATGAAGGGCACGTTGGTGAGCTTGTTGTGGGCCAGGTGCAGCACCAGCAGGTTGGTGAGGTTGAAGGAATTTTTGGGCAGCCCCTTATCCGAGATCTGGTTGTAGTTGAGCCGGATGAACGCCAGGTTGGGAAACTCCTTGAAATAATCGCTGGGGATGTCCTCAATGTTGTTCCTGTCCAGGAAGAGCTGGTGGATGGCGCTGGGCACGCCGGGGGGCATCTTCCTCAGGATGTTGTGGGCCAGGTTGAGCTGCATGAGGTTCTTGAGCCCCTTGAAGGTGTTCTTGTTGAAGACGCCGTCGCTCAGCTTGTTGTGGTGCAGGTCCAGCAGCACCAGGTTCTCCAGCTTGTTGAAGACCCCGGCGGGGATCTTGGAGATCTGATTCCTGCTGAGCCTCAGCTGCTCCAGGTTGGGCGGCAGGAAGGCGGGCACCTCCTTCAGCTGGTTCCTCTCCATGTAGAGGAAGATGAGGTTCTCCAGCTTCTCCAGCACCTTCCTGTCCACCTTGCGGATGCGGTTGTTGTCCAGGTTGACCCACTTGAGGCCGGTGGCGTTGCGGAAGGACTCCTCGGGCAGGTCGGCGATGAAGTTGTTCTGCAGGTACAGGTAGTGGATGCGCGCCGGGATCAGCGGCACCGTGCGCAGGTTGCGGCTGTCGCAGTACAGCGCCGAGGGGAAGTCGGGCGGGCAGTAGCACTCCCGAGGGCAGTCGGGGAACACGGACGGAGGGCCCGGAGGGAGGGGAGGGGGCAGCTCTGTGGGCTCCACGGGCTCCTCGAAGGGCAGGGGAGGCCGCGTGGGTCTGCGGGGGGGTTTGCGGCGCTGCCCGCTCGCCACCAGCGCCAGCGCCAGCGGCAGGAGGAACGCCAGGGCCGCCCTCATGGTCCGGGTGTTTTCCTGCAGGGACACGAGCAGAGGGGTTGGGTGTCGCAGGCATCTTTTGTGGAAAACCCTTTCCTCGGGATTTTTCCTCCTGAGAAGCTGAGAGGCCTCAGGAACAAAATGCAAACATTGATTTTCTGCTGCTGTGGAATGCAACAGACAGATCTGTGATTGGTCTCATGTGGTTGTTTCTAATTAATGGCCAATCACAGCCCAGCTGGCTCAGACAGAGAGTCCGAGCCACAAACCTTTGTGATCATTCTTTCCTATTCTATTCTTAGCCAGCCTTGTGATGAAATCCTTTCTTCTATTCTTTTAGTATAGTTTTGATATAATATATATCATAAAATAACAAATCAAGCCTTCTGAAACATGGAGTCGGATCCTCGTCTCTTCCCTCAACCTGAGACCCCTGTGAGCACGGTCACAGGCTGGGGAGGGGTTGGTTGAGGGGTTGTCACCTCCCCACTGCTGGCACACAGGGGTTTATCCCTCAGGGCTTTATCTCTTGTCTCTGCTGCCTGTGTTCCTCTCCCCTTCCCATCGGGAGTCGTCTTCCAATCCAACCCCTCCCCAGAGCAGGAGTCGCTGAGCTCCCTGTCCCTGGCTCACTGCTGTCCATGGAATTCCTCTCCCTGGCTCATCATTATCCATTGAATTCCTCTCTCATTCACCATTATGCATGGAATTCTTCTCCCTTCCCCACCATTATCCATGGAATTCCTCTCTCATTCACCATTATCCATGGAATTCTTCTCCCTTCCCCACCATTATCCATGGAATTCTTCTCCCTTCCCCACCATTATCCATGGAATTCCTCTCTCATTCATCATTATCCATAGGATCCCTCTGGCTCACCTGTTATCTATGGGATCCCTCTCATTGACCATTATGCATGGAATTCCTCTCTCACTCATTATTTTACATTAATTCCTATCTCATTCATTATCCATGGGATCCCTCTAGCTCACCATTATCCATGGGATCCCTCTCTCATTCACCACTGTCCATGGAATTCCTCTCCCTGCCTCACCATTATCCATGGCATCCTTCTCTCATTCACCATTATCCATGGGATCCCTCTTGTCCATGGGGAATGTTGTTGTCGTTGTTTGTCTTTTTTTTTTTTTTAATTTGGGTTTTTGTTTCATTTTCCCACCCCGCAGCACCTGGGCCCTCCCCAGAGGCCGCTTCCATCCTCTCTTCCCAAAGGATGGATCAGCCCTTCAGACTCCTGGATGGATTTGGTTTCATTTGGCACTCGGGACAGCAAATCTATGATTCCACAGGAAATTGGCTCTGGAAAAGCGCCGGGAACCCGGCAGAGGTGAACGGGGCAGCAGAGATGGGTGACTCGGGGCGAGGAGCAGCCCCTCTGCCAGCCCTGGGATGCAAAGGGCATTCCCAAGGCTGGAACAGCACAGGGGTTTGGATCCACAGCTCCCTGTGCTGCCCACAGAACCCATCCAGCCCCGCTGCTGATTTGGGACGAGTCACAGCGGGAGACTGGGAGGGATCAGGTGAGGTCTGTGTGCTCCAAGCCAGGAAATTTCTCCTGGACATCATCCCTGGCCACCTCTCCCTCCTCCCTGGCTCCTGCTCACCCTGAACCATCCCTGCTGCTGCCTGGAACAGCAGCCCCTGCTCATCCTTGCCGGATTTCCTGGGAATTCTCCAGCTGCTGCCTTGGAGAGGGGAGGGATCCAGCAGAGAGGCTCCGTGCAGGTGGGGTTTGGGTGTTCCCACAGCTGGAGCAGGCTGGGATTGGGGTGGGATTCCTGGCAATGGACCCTGGGGGCTCACCAGGCTCTTCCCAGGGGGATTCATCGCCAGAGCAAGGCAGAGGGAGGGCGGGAAGGAGCAGGGAGGCAGAGGAGAGGGAGGAAAATGAGGGAAACCAGAGGAGGGAGGGAAAGTGCTGCTGAGATGGGAGAAGCCTTTGGAGGTGCTGGAGCTGCCGGTGCCAATTTTGGGGGAAATCCAGCACATCCAGCACAGCAGAGTGGGGTGGGCCGCCCATCCTCCCTTTCCAGCCCATTGCCAGCTCTCCTCACACCCAGAACCCCAATTTCCATCATCCCTGAAGGGGCAAAACCCCCCACCCAACCCGGGAACCGCAGGGACTCTCTGGCCCATCCTCTTCCAGGGCCACCTCTGCCAGCCCCAGCTCCCTTTGCAGCCATCCCACGCTTTCCTGGGGCTCCAAGGAATTGACTTTCTCCAGGAAAAGATCCTGTTTTTGCCCCTCCTGCAGGCCCAGCCTGTTCCTGCCGGCTCCCATCTGGCTCCGGTTAACCCCGCACGCCTCCCGGGCCGGCTGCTTTCCATCAGGGCTCTGGCATCTCGCTGGGGGAAGGGAGGAGCAGGGAAGGAGCCAGCAGAGCCCAGAGCTGCTGGATCCTGAGCCCAGCAGAGCTGCAGCAGGTCCTGGTGGGCGATGGATGTGATCCTGTCCCTGCATTCTGCGTTTGGTGACAGGAAAATGGGAAAATCCATGGCAGGGATGGGCTGTTTGTGCAGTGCCCTTCCCATTCTGGCAGCATCCCGCTCCTTCCCCGGCCACACCACACGGATCTCACTCTGTCTTGTCTCAGAGCTTTCCATGGGGTTTTCCCTCGGCTCCAGAACCTGGATTTTAACCCCCACAAGCACCCAAGGGAGCAGCGGGGGCTGAGGTCAGAGCTTGGCCCGGCGCAGAGGGGAGGGAGCAGCTGGGAGGTGACCATTCCAGCTGGGAGGTGACATTCCAGCTGGGAGGTGACCATTCCAGCTGGGAGGTGACCATTCCAGCTGGGAGCTGATCTTCCATCCAGGACACAATATTCCACGCTGTGATCCAGGTGTTGGAGCCGCTCAGGCCACCCAGCAATGCCCCAGCAGGTCCCCAGTGCTGTCACCCTGCTGGTGATTTGACATCCCAGACGTTTGGGGACTCAGCACAGAGCAGGAGCAGCCACCCAGGCCAGGAATTCTGGCTGGAGAGTGACAACATCCTGTGGAATTCTGTAGGCACAGACAGTGGTGGGAGGGTGACACCACCCCTTTTACCCGCCCTGTGGGGACTGTCCCAGCCCTGTGACACTGCCACCACCCTTCCCCTGGGACCCCTGCCTGCCTGGGGAAAGCAGGACCCACTTTTTTTTTGTTCCAAGCAAACTGCAGGAAAGCAGTGACATTCCCCAAAAAAAAACCAGGGATTCAACGAGCCCGAGGCCACCACAACGTCACAATTGCTGGAAGATTCCAAGCCAGCTCTCCCAGGAAAAGCTGGAAATCTGTTCTCCACCCGGCTGGATTTACTGGCATGAATTGCAGGAGCAGAATTCCCAAATCCCACCCCTACTCCAACCCGAGCCCCAGCACAGCCCCTGCCCTGCCAGCCTATGGGACAGCTCCATTCCAGCTGCCCACAAGGAATCCGCGCCACTGGAACAAAGTTAAGTCATGGAGCAACGGAGGAATTCAGGAAACCGACGGCCTGGCGTGGAAAAAAGGCTCAATTCATGGATAAAACCAGTGCTGACACCTCGTCGCTCTGCAAGGCCAAGGCACCCAACAGATCCCGGGGTTTTTCCCAGAAGGAGGCAGCTGCTTCCTCAGCCATCCCGGTTACAATGGACAAAAAAAAAAATTTAAAAAAAAAAGTGGTGCAACAGCTGGAAATTCCAGCCCCGAATGCCACTGGGGTTTGCTCTGCACATAGTTTCTCTTCCCTGCATCCCAGTAACCCCCAGCTCCCAGCGGCGCTGGCCGCCAGCCCCGGGATGGGACGGGCGCCAAGGGCAGGGAGAAGCCGCCACCCCGGGGCGAGAGGGAGCCGTGCAAAGGTCACCGGGGGGGATTTGTCATCATGGCCCAAGTCCCCGCCATGTCCCTCGGGTGCCTCCTGCAGCGGTGAGGGGAGAGGGAGCAGCTGGATCCCGGTATTTGTCCAAGATCCCGCTCCCGCAGAGGGATAAAGGGAATTTAAACGCTGGGAGAGGCAGGAAAAGCCTGGATGACTGGAGCAGGGCCCCTTTCCAGCTCGTTGTTAGCTCCTCTCGCACATTCCCGCAATTCCCGTCAGCCCTGGTGGGGGAAAAGCCCCTTCCAGCCTGGGAACGGGAATGTCGGAGCAGAACGAGATAAAAATAACCACAAGGATCGGGCAAAGCTCCTTCCTTGGCTTCCCTCGCGTCCAGCACCGCTCGTGTCTCTGCGAGAGCCTGGCCCAGCACGGGGCTCGTCATCCAGCGCCTCTGGAGCGCCGGGAATCGTGGAAAAAGGGCCGGGGCAGCCAGGCTGTCACCCGAGCATCACCGGGGTCCCTTGGGAAGCGCAGCCCTGATGCAACAACCCCGCGGTTCTCGCCCTTTCCCAGCCCTTTCCCAGTGAGCAGCGGAGCCGGGCTGGAGCCGGGGCTGGGTCCTGCCGTGTTCCCTCTGTGTCCATGCAGGGACGGGTGACACCCGCCAGGACACTCGGTCCTGCCCCATTCCTGTTGGGATGGCGCTGTGTCCATGCAGGGATGGGTGACACCTGCCAGGACACTCAATCCTGCCCCATTCCCGCTGGGATGGCACTGTGTCCATGCAGGGACGGGTGACACCCGCCAGGACACTCGGTCCTGCCCCATTCCCGCTGGGATGGCACTGTGTCCATGCAGGGACGGGTGACACCCACCAGGACACTCGGTCCTGCCCCATTCCCACTGTGTCCATGCAGGGGCGGGTGACACTTGCCACAGCTCAGCCAGGACAAGGTGACAACAGCGCAGGGCTCCTGCCAGGAGGGTCCCCAGAGACCCTGGGATGATCCCATCCTTTGCTCCTGGGTCCCCAGAGTTCCTGGGATCCTTCCCAAAGCTCACCCCATCCTCTTCTCCCAGATCCCCACAGACCCCGGGATCCTTCCCAAAGATTCATCCCATCTCCTTCTCCTGGGTCCTCAGAGACTTCAGGATGCTCCCCAAAGGCTCATCCCATCCTCTGCTCCTGGGTCCCCAGAGTCCCCAGGATCCT